TTTACAACATGAATCATCGTGTGTGAATATGAATTTTTAGGTTTAAATTCAATCAAAATGTGCCTGTTAGATCTTATCCCCTTGTTGCTGTTGATAATGTCTTGTAACAGTAGCAATGCTGTATTTATTTCCTTTATGCCCTGCATATATTCCTATATATAGTTTCAAAGATTTGCAAACAACTCTCATTAAATGTTACAATACCTTTTTGTAGTAAAGGGTGGATGGACGGTAGAGGAAACCCTGTAAAATAGTAACCAAACAAAAATAAATATTTGACTCATGTTAAGTATCTTACATAGGTCTTAAGATGTCTGAACTAGCCAAATTATTGTTGTTTTTTTTTTGTTTTTTTTTTCCTAAATTATGACTTTTCCAAGTAATGAGTGAGAGAAACTTGTGGAACATTTTTGTGTCAGCTTCATAAAAATTAAAATATTATGCTAACTGATATATACAACTCGTAATAAAAGGATTTCTCAAGCAAGATAACCACTAAGTCTAGGAATACCTGTGATCTGTCGTAGGTCCGGGTGGTGGAACGATGGTGGAGGTTCTGCAAAAGCCAAAGCATCAATGAACAATGAGATTTTTTGCAGCATAGCAAAAATACTATTTTACAACATGAGTCATTGTGTGTGAAGGATGTTATCATTACAGCTGTGAATCTTGGCTGATGTCCAAAATGTGCCTGCTAGATCTGATCACCTTATTTCTATTGATAGTGTTAAGTTAATCTAGGAATACCTGTCATCTGTCGTTCCAGGAGGTGGAGGAATGATGGTGGTTGAGATGCTGCAAAAGCCAAAGAATCAATCACAACATCATTTTTCAGCCTATTATGTCTAGTGAAATACTAGTTGCTACACAATGAATTGTCATGTTATTTTCTGAATATAGACTCATCTAAGACGCAAACAATTCTCATTAAAGTATAATACCTGTCATCTGTAGTAGTAGATGGATGGATAGTAGTTAACGTCCTGCAAAATTGGAACCAAAGTTGAAGTACAAAACTGAAAAAGTACCTTAATCACTTACAAAGCAATGATAATGTCTGATTGAATTCATTTCTAGATCAGTCAGAAGTAAAACGATTACTTGTAGTTTCTAAATATACCAGAATCTTGAGGAAAAAAATATAAAAATATAGTTTACAGGGGTCAATGTTTTTTTTTAGCACTAAGTCTAAATAACTGTTAAGATTAGTATGAAGAAAATCTAAAAAAAAAAGTGCTGTTGAGCATTCCTTGTACTGATACCAATTTTTTATTTATTTATCTTTTTTGCATTGTTGTTTGAGTGAGCCAGAATAGACTGAGCTAAAATGTGGAGCAAACATTTAAATTTGATTTTTTTCTCAATTCACATTAAGGAAATAAAAAATGTTAACGGCTATAATACACATTGAATGTCTGCGGTCATGTATTATTAAAATAGGTTATCTTGATTCTCATCAGAATCCAAATTGAGTGTGTACAATATGTTTTCCTCAAACAATTCTTTAATCCACAATTATCCAAATATTATTTTAAATCAAACACCACAAATGCTAATAAAGCCCTAATAAAAACATTTGCCATAAAATCTTTTAAAGAATTTTAATTTGGTGGCACAATGGGTCAGAGTTAATCCCAGTGGTTACAAATCCAGTTACATTTGAGAACAACTGTAGTACACAGAAATTGCACTGATATTTAAAAAGCATGCAATTTTAGTTTTGATTATTATCTAACGACTGATCTTTGGAGTTTCTTTATCCTATAATAAAAACTTTAAGTGGGCAATATCTGTCACGTCTTGCAAGAAATGCATTAACCCATCACACCAAGTCCACATCAAAGTGTTTGACAAATAAGATGTTCATTTAATCTAGGAATACCTGTTATTCGTTATTCCAGGAGGTGGTGGAATGATGGTGGTTGAGATTCTGCAAAAGCCAAAGAATCAATCACAACATCATTTTTCAGCCTATTATCTGTATGTAACAGAGATAAAAGCTTGTGTGTGTCTTTGTGAGTTTTGATCAAAATGATTGTAGGGTTGTATGTGTTTATGAGCTCTTTGATCAATGCGTTTGTTTGGAGCCACCTAGTGGTGTGATGAGTGACTGCATGCACCTGGTCCGTCAGGCTCTCTCGCGGCTTCCCCCACCAGAGTTCTGAGGAGCGCTGGTGGAGGTGGGTGCGAGAGAGGCAGCTCTTCACTTCTTTTTTTACTTAGGGTCATATTTTTCTAGTTCAACAATTAACGAAGTACTGTAAGAATATTTAACATCTACAAATATAATTTGTAAAGTTTTTCTCGTGATTGGGCTGGAAAAATGTGACCCTATGAGTGGGAGCTGCGCCGGTTGGTGTTCGTGGCTGACCACTCAGTCACGACACTAACCGTGTCTTATTTTTCAGCCTTTCGAACCCGATGCCTGTGTTACGTCAATCCTCGTTTCCCCATCAGATACGGTTCCCCCTGCGTCTTCTTGCCGCTCCGCCCCGCCCACGCGGCAAAGTACGCGCGTGCTCGTGATGAGCACTGAGAAAGCACGCGCGTAGCAAGCACAGGCGTGTTCCTGGAGGTTATATCATCTACAACAAAATACTTGCAGTTGTTTGAATTGTCATGTGTGTAAAGCTCGCTATCGTTAGCTTATCAAAATAGGCTTCAATAGATGCAATCATCTAATACAAGAGTGTTTTATTTTTACCTGTGAAACAAACCGAGACTAAAACTGGCAAGTTCGCAATTTCAGCTGTAGGAGTGACTGCTTGAGAACTAATCAACAGAGGAAGGGAATTTTTGCAAAGAAAAAAAAAAACATGAATGTTTAGCTTTGAAAGATGCAAAACATCGTCTTACATGTCATTGCAGAGATTGATGATTATTGAAAAGAAAAAGCTTGAATCCAAAAATCCTTTAGTTTAATCAAATATTCGAACAATTAAATAATTGTTTTGAATAGCTAACAATCAGCTATTCATTTGTATTTGTGTATTCAAACACAATACATTGTGTTTGAACAAAACGTATCAATAAATATGAGATACTAGGAATTTGACTGATGGTAGAAAAGATTCTATAAAAGATATCAAAAAATTAATATGAGAAGAAGGTGACTTTTGTTGTGAATCAGAATTATAATAGATAAACAGATTGAATTTAGTTAAACTAAAATGATGAGCATGTAACAACATACACACCACAAATAAAGGAAAAAGAGAATACATACTTTTTACAGTTTATTTAGATTAGAAAAAATAAAGTAAAATTAATACCTGTTTTCTGGGCTTGTAGAAGGTGGACTGATGCTTGGGGATACTCTGTAAAAGTCAGAGGACTATTCAACAAAAACTCTAAAATCTGATTGTAGTTCCAAAACATTTTCTTTTACAACTTTGTGAAGGAATGCAAATTTGTCAGTATTAAATTATTATTAGTCAAAGGTTTACCTTGCAGAGCATTGACTTTCATTCAGATTTTGTGGAGGATTTGCCATGCTCACTGGTCTTAACTGAGGACATGGTAGAGTTGTTCCATTGATTAGTGGGGTGAGATCTATCAAACGACAAAAATGTCAGTTAGAAAAAAGAAATGCAATGTCTGACGGACTTCCTCATAGGAAGTTGGAATAATTAGAGCTTTCCAGCTAATTCTTCCCACCTTATGGATGACAAAATACAAATTCTGCAGATGCAGAAAGCAAAATGTTTTAATTTTGAAGTTAAATTATAAATGGTTATTTAACCGCCTCTGGACAATTGAAGTAATGCTCTTGATTACAAACTTTACACTGTCCTTTCACCTTCTTTTACAGGGATCCACAATAAGTTGAACATGTTGTAATTTTCCTTGTAACCTAAAAAAAATTGCTGTTTGTGATACGCTAAAACTCCTAATTGCTTCAGTCATCTTTTGTTATATTTTTCACCAATGGAGGTCGCCTTTTTTTCACCTGCTGGGTTGATGACGCGTTTTGGTCCATTCTGAAATCTACAGTGTACACACAGGACATTCAGGTGTGTCATGATTGATTTATTTGCCTTTTAATGTTCTTGCAAATCACTCCATGTAATTACAATGAATTAGTAATACAGATGCATTTTGTTTTTTTCTCCGATGACGGCCTGTGGCAGCAACTGAACATGGAAGCTGAAGAGAGCAAGGCCAATCCAAATGTCACCACCGATGCCATTATTGAGGTAAAAAGACGCACCTCCGAGATGAATACGCCAAAATCACTGGATCCACTACAAAACTGGGAAATACAAAGACTACATTGCCCTACCCATAAGGATTTGAGTTTTTCTGTGTTTATTTAGGTTTCTGTGTTCTGTGGCACCTCCATGTTGTCCCGTCTACCCCTTGATTAGTGACATCTGTTCCTTGCTTCCCACGGATTGACTCCCTGTGTATTTAAACTCAGCTATGTTCCTTGTTCTTTGTTCGGGTCCTTGTCTTATCGTCTAGTTTGTCTAAATCTTGCTGTCAGTTATTTGTTTTGTACCAGTTGCTACCAGTTGTGGGCAATAGCCTTCCGCTCATCTGTACTGCCTGGATTATTGTGTTTTTGGATCATTAAATCATCATTCTTTCATTCCAACTTGGGTCCTCATTGTCATACTCACCACCTCTTCACTGCATATCATGACACTACCTTGTACAAACTTGCAATTAAATTTCTATATATGCCGACATCATCAGTGTAATGTGAAAGGGTGTTCTCAAAAGCACCGTTTCACCATTTCCAAACCGAAATAGTTTGTAAACGGCACAATCGCCTCGGCCCAAAGTTGTTACAGTGGCTGATGTTTCTAAATAAAAACATAAGTGAAACTTATCTAGTTTCCAGTCTTTATTGAATTTGCCTGCAATTACTTTTTAAATCCAGCAACACAGCAACCCAGTGTCAACACAGTTTGGGAAATGTGCCAAACACCCAATGAGGCCTCAACTGCTATCGCTACTTACTGGATCACACAGTCTGACCAGGGGTACGTTGTTCATCATTTCACGATGATAATCCTAACCCTAACCCTATTCCTTAATATCGTTAATCATCACTGTTTTGGCTGGAGGATGCAGGCAGTTGGGCCATTACACGTCATTTATCCAGAATGCATTGCAGTGTGAACAACATGGCGACGTTCATGTGACAATATTTTATTAAAGTGTATAAAAACTAAATAACCTACAGTATTATTACTGTATTGCTTTTACATCTAAAATACGTTTCCCTTATGTTCTCTGTGTGTAAAAATATGATATTTCTAAGACTGATGTTTCTTTGATCCTTTTTCTCTACAACATTCCTTTCCAAGAATGCTGTAGAGAAAGCAAGTTCTTGCAACATTATCAATATATGATTATGATCAGAATATTAAACCCACCTTCAAAGTTGAACATGAAAATGGCACTTCCTCCCTTGAGAAACTCTCTGGATTGCAATTCTTGTAACGTTGTAAAAGGATTGGACCCCCAGAGAACCCTACCACCATAGACTAATTCTCCATCCTCATAAAACAATGCAACTCCAGTCTCCCTAGGATTGTCCCAGATTGAGGTATTTGTTCCTGTTACATGAGAAAACACATTTGAATTTATTTGGTTTGTTCTTTTTACCAACAACTTTTCTTCAAAATATCAACACTATATGACAAACTTACCAGATAGTACTTGAGTTTTATCAGTAACAAAAGTAGATTCCTTAGACATTTGCAGTTGCTTGTTTGGGGTTTGATCCAGCAACTGGAAAATCATATGTCTTTGCAGACAAGGATATTGCAGCTGGTCATCATTCTGACTAGACAAGAGCTGCACATACATTCCAATATATGTTTTATAAAGAATAGTGGCTACTCGGTAAGCATAGCCGTCTTTGGAGAATTGTCGTTTGCTGTATATTCTGGTTCCAGAGCTGCTTGTGTTTAAAAGATTCTCCAAGTCATCAATCTGCCAGACATAGTGTGGACACTCTGTCTCTGAGAGATTGATGTCATCAATGGAGAAACCTCCTGTGGAGATTCCTGCTCCTTTCCGGACCTCAAACACCACCTGGAAGTCCTTGGTGGCATTCAAGGAAACATGGTGGATCTTCCAGTGAGATGTTGGTGAACCTGGAGTGAGAGGTTTTAATTTACTATGCTATACAATTTTAATATGACATCATACAAAAGTGAAAAGTTACAGATATTTATAAGTTTTACCAGTAATTTGTCCCATAAGGCGGAGCGTTCCTGTGGTGTCCTGATCGTTTTCAAATTCTCTGATCCAGATATTAAGTTCATCTGATTCATTTCCACTGTGGAAATAGTAGAACTGCAGACACTGGACATTACATGCCCTGGTCGGCTTCACTACCTCCGTTTCCAGTCGTGCTGAATCTCCTTCTTGTCCTGATGCTGTGCTTGCGTGGATGAAGTACCCCGTTTGTTGACCTGCAAAATGTTGTTCAAGATAAAGTTTCTGATCAATTTCTCTCATCTACAATATAATCACATACAACTCCATGCATTTTGCATAATAAAGTAGAAGTTACTTATGCATGTTATAACCAATGAAGTACTCCGGTTGTTGACCTGCAATAATGTCCAAAATAAAGTTTTCTGGTGAATTCTCCATTTTATTTACATGTAGCTTACAGACAATTTAAGGCATTTGCACAACTTCAGTAACAGACTTTATTATCTTAAATCAATATTATTA